ACTGACCCATTCCAGGTCTGTGTTCATTTCCACCTTTTTCTTTCCTTCCCTCTCCCTCTTCCTTCCCTCTTCCTCTGAAAACCCAGCTTAATTTAACCGTGATCCATCTTCCATAAATCCCTCATTGTATTAAAATAGATTCTGTAGTCTCTTCCTATAGGGGTCAACCCACTACCATCATGTTTTCAACACACTCTCCTAAATCTCTCTGTTCTGTGTTCAGACCTCTCCTTCATGGGATTCCCACCCGTGACCTCACTTATCTCTGACAGCTCAATCTCTTGACGCCTCCGCTCACCAGAGCCTACTGGAAACCATCTCGTCTCCTTCACTTGAAATACAGGGTATTTCAGATTTGTTCCTAAACAGATTCTCTTCTCAGCACCTATTCATTAGCATATTTCTTACTGTTTCCAACTACCATGGCCTTTCCTTTAGCTCGTGTACCTTCCTCTGCTCACCAAAGCTCTTTCACATCTGCTGAGATCCAATTAAACTCATATCCTTTCAGATGTTTTATGATTTTCCCCGGCTGTTAATCCTGCACTCCTACGCAGCTCACTAGTGAGTTACGTTACAGAACCTATGGCATTGAGTTGGGATGTCTTAGGTAATAGGTGGATCTCTCACACATACTCTTTATTTCACTCCTAGACAATCAGCTATTGGAAAAAGAGGTCATGTCTCGGTCATCCTTTTATCTAAGGGTCTAGCACATTAGTTTATACCTTTACATGTAATGTCATTATGTACTGATATTTACTACATGTTTAGAGGGGGGGAGTTTAAAGCTAAGACTGAGCAAATGAAAAGTCTCACTACCTATATGGTCATGTATGATCTTTATATCTGAGTCTGTTCTTTCCTGGCCTTGCCCATGCCCAAATAATTCTTGAACTTCCCAATTTCTAATATTTGTGCACCTATAAACCTTTTTCAGACTATGGAGTAGACCCTGTTCTTCACTCATAATTAATAAATGCCCTCCTTCAGACAGTTCAGAAAATCTACTCTTCATGAAGTTCACTTTCCAAAAATGTGCCCCACCTCCACTTTTTATTCCCTCCACCAGTCAACTCAAAACAAGTAATTGCTCCCTTGCTTTTCCATTTAAGACACTGACTTGACCAGTACTAGCACCTCCTGACTGACCTACTCACTGCAGGTTGAAAGTCGACATGAAGCAAATTCATTCTGGTGATCTGTGGACCCACCATCTAGAAACAGTATTATCCTTCGATATTTACATTCTGTTGTGCTTTTTGTTAATTTAATGATCTGTGTGCTTTTTACCATCCATATTTTTTGCTCTGTTAGCTCCTCAAGTACTGGTTCTTACATTTTCCCACACGTAATCCCCTTTGACAGGTATGGCAAACAGCCCCCCAAAGTTATCTCCCCTGCTGCTTTCTGTACACCAATACAAAACAGCTCTGCCATGCCGTCTTTCTGTACTGTTCTAACCCACAGTGGGGAGTGGATTTTAAAACTATACTTTGTGAGACTGCCTTCTGACCAGCTTACAGGCTGCTTTTGAGAACTACTACCCTGGAGAACAGAGTGACCTGTGTCATTTGATGATACAGAACCAGTGCCAGTGCAGATGGTGCTGCCTACGTGACTGACGGGCACTGTGCGCGTGCTGCCCACTGACGCGGGCTCCCTGCTTTCTCCTCCAGTTGCAGGCACCTTTAGCTGCACCATGAAGTTTACTGTCCGGGACTGTGACCCTGACACTGGGGTTCCAGCTGAGGAGGGGTATGACGATGAGTACGTGGTGAGTGTCCCCTGCACAGAGACACTTTGACACCCTTGCACCACTGACTTCTGCCTGAAGAGAACAGTTTTCTAGGAACACCTGACAGGGGTATTCATCTCAGATGACAGCTGAGGGCCTGGGCTAATTCTCCTCTGTAATGGGAGTGTGTCACGCCTAAGAGAACAGACTTACCACTTCCTAAAGCAACTCACCCTTTTTTATGTCTTTATAATAGGGATGATTACAAGATGAAAATAAGTACATGGTTTTCATTGAGAGCAGTGGGCTTTATTTGAAATACTGGGGTTGTTGTTTTGTTGGGCAGCTTCTACTTTGCTTATAATGTAGCTACATCATGGACTAAAAAGCCTGCCTAGAATGCAGGGGAAAGTTTAAGAGTATCAACCGTTAGTGAATGGCAAGTTCAGAAGGCCCTGGATGGCCTGAACTTGGTGGTTAGGTGTGGCAACACGACTGCTTTGTACCCCAGGGTCGAAGATGTTGATCTGAATGTTTCCTTGCTTTCCTTTGCTAAGGCTTACATTGTTGGATTTATCCAGACTACAGGACTTACTCTAGTTTGGAATAGTTTTCCCTAGGTTGCTGCAAAGTCTAGAACACAGAATGATAGAACCATGTTAACTAGCCCTTTCCACCTGCACTGAGAAGGACTGTCATTCACTGACGCCTGCTTGTGCCCACTAGCTGGAAGATCTCGAGGTGACTGTGTCCGACCACATTCAGAAGGTCCTGAAGCCTAACTTCGCTGCTGCCTGGGAAGAGGTGGGAGATACTTTTGAGAAAGAGGAGACCTTTGCCCTCAGCTCTACCAAAACTCTTCAAGGTGAGAACAGTTTTGCTATCAATGTGTTGCCTGACTGCGGTGTAAACCTAACAGGAACACTTATCATTCCAGAAGAACACTTTGTTTAAATACTGTATAAACTAATTCAGTCAGAAGGCCAGGACCCTGTCATCACCTAATTGAGTCACCAGTTCTAGTCCAGTGGCCTCCATGCACACACCCCTCGAGCCCAGCTCCCAGTACGCACTGGTGCAGAGCAGACCCCTGCTGACCTTTTCTGATACTGTTGCATCGATCTTGTCAACACAGAAGCTGTCAGCAACATCATCACATTTCTGGGCATGCAGCCATGTGAGAGGTCAGACAAAGTTCCTGAGAACAAGAATTCCCATTCCCTGTATCTGGCAGGTAAGAACCTTCCTCGGATTTCCCCTTTATTTTGTTGCAAAATGTAATAGGAAGGGCAGTGCATGGGCACCCGTGCCCTGCTCCTGCCCCACTGTATGCACAGTTCAAAGCCCTGTCAAAATGAATACTTTGTTTTAGCTGTTTAATTTGCATGCTGTCCTTATGGTGTTCTTTTAAGATATACATTTGGCCTGAAACACTTCCTTAAATTTCTCCCATGGATACCAGTGCCACTACTGCCCCAATTTGAGTATCCCAAACCAATATTCTTGAATACCTTCTATGTCCCTGGTATCACAGGAATATAAAAGATTATTTTGAATTTGTATGTAGGATTCAATTCCCACCATAAACACAAGTGTCTAGAAAAGCTAAACTAAAATAACAGAAAGGAAATGCAGGCAGAGCATGGTAAATGTCACTAGTTAGAGCTTGCTTTGAGTCCTTAGGATGGTTTTCCTCACTTTTTCCTCAGGTGTGTACAGAGGTGGCTGTGATTTATTGGTGAGGTCCAGACTGGCCTTAGCAGATGGAGTGACCATGCAGGTGACTGTCAGAAGCAAAGAGGAAACACCTGTGGATGTTATCTTGGCTTCTGTTGGATAAGTTTTTGCCGGGCAAGATGAAGTTGGTGTACTTTTCTGTCAGTGGGCTTAGGCTAGTGGCATGAATTTCCCAGAATCATGCTTTTAAAGATGAATGATTCTGGAGAAGCAAATTAAATGTTTGGCCCTGAGCCAGCAGATCAAGCAAATGTCTGTCCTTGTGCATGTCTTTTTTTTTTATTACACTGGTCAACTTTGGTGTGATCGTACAGCTTTGGGTGAACTTGAAAAGCAAATACTGTCCTGTACCCCAGCTGCTTCATCTCATTATGTTCTTTAATTTAACGTGTCTGAAAGCCCCTGGCAACGTTGGAAAGCTTTCGTCCCGGAGGGGTGGTGGGGAGGGGAAGGCAGAGTCCACTTTTGTCAAAATTCATTTTTATTAATAGAAAATAAACACTTATTCCACTTTCCGTTGTTATACTTGAAGTTGCTAATTTTTTTAAAAAGAATTAAAAATAATCACCTAGTCCTATTAGACTAAAACAATGAAACTGTGGCTTTAAAAAAAAGTATTCAGCACCAATTGCTCACAGGTCTGTCAGAATTTGCTCTTAAGTTTCTGGAGCTGTCCTGTCTGTGAAGGACAGGAACTGCGGAGCCACGTGAGGCAGCCTCTCTGCGCCAACCAGGCATGAACGGGATCAGCGCGCACGCGGCGTGGTGGCCTGGCCTGCACTCCGCTCCCTGCCCTCCCCTCGAGCTCAGGGCCGTGCTCCGGAGCACTGGCTCTCCAGCGGCTAACAGCAACTCTCGGGCACAGATGCTAGTGGTCTTGAACGTCCTATGACTTTTAGGAAATTTTGTAAATAGCGTGGCTTTAATTCAATTTATTCAGAAGTCAGATCTGTCTAATAAGGTTCACTACTCTGCCAGAGTGTCTGCTGGTTTAGTAGCCTTCTAAAACATATATAATACGTGTAAGTAAATCATAGCCTTAAAGTACACTTAGAATACTGCACTATTTAAAGCAAAATCTATTTTAACAAAATGTCTATAATTAGATGCAGCCGATGAAACTAAGCCAAAGTTATGACAGGGGAGACTCACTCTCCCTTGAAGCTGTGCTGCTTAGAAAACTTGACAAAGCATGTGCCCTTGAAGTCATTCAAGGAGAGGTAAGCAGGCATCCTCTCCTCCTTCTTTACGTAAGATTCCAACTGGGGCTGGGCCAGAAATAAGCACTCTAGATATCTCAGAAAAGTTCATAGAAATGGTAAAGACTCTTATGCAAAACAATGTCTGTCTCTCTGCTTCCGTGAGTACTAGTGCCCGTCAGAATTTCCCAGTAACACAAAGGCAAGTCCATACACTTGATCAGATGTCAGGAAGGGGAGGTGGACTATCAGGTCACCCTCAGTCGGGGCCTCTGCTGGCTTTTTACTGTGTGCTGTTCACCAGTGTGTCAGGTGGACCTTTGTGAGAGAAGAGTGTTTGGTGGCCAGGACCTCTTTGGGGCATTTCTTTCTAAATGGAATACACAACAGATAAGGGAGCGGGGGAGGTAGTACAGGGAAGCTACTCTTTCCAGCTCAGAAGGAGTTGATGAAGCCCATGTATGCATTCAAGAAGCCCATGGGATCCTCTAGCTGTGGGTAGTGGCTAATGTGGTCATCCAGAATCGACACTGTGGACCGCGGCAGCGTTTTCCTAGTGGAAGAGAACAGCATGTAGGTGAGCTGGAGGCTGGACGGAGGGGGGGGGAGGTAAGCCAGTGGGCAGCCCCAGTAAATGCCCCTGCGGACATACCACACTGGAAAGAACCAACAAAGCTTATTCGGCTTCTGTTCTGGAATTGTATCTGAGGCAGTAAACTTGCCAATTCCATTTATGACATATATAGACTAGATTTTAAATGTCCATAATCCAACAGACAACAACTTGAAAATATAACGCTTTGCAACACATGTCAAAGCAGGGTGACTCTGTGCTCCCTAGAGAAGCATGATGCTCAAACCAGGGGACCACTGTCCAACAAAGGTAACAAAAGACCTTCCTTAGCCCCGAAAGGAGATGAGAGATGGTATCTTGTTGAAAATTAAATGGAAGCTGTTTACTACTGGGTTGTTTCTACTAGGCCACATGAAGGTATGGAACGTTCTAATGCCTTTACAGACAAAGGCAGTCAAGACTTCCTATTCCAACCTTCCGAATAAAGACCTGGAGAAAACAGCCACCAGTGAGGAGGCACTTCCCACAGTGCACGCCCCTCAGTCTCCCCTGCAGGTGCCCAGAGTTGGCTTTACAATCAGACTAAAGCAAACATGTCTTGTCAACTTGACATACTTGCATTCCTTAGTTCATATGACAGTGTCTTCTTACCTGTACACCTAGGAATAGGTAGCGACCCTGACAGTGAAACAGGCTGTACAAATCAAGAGAATGTTGTAGAATTTCCTGAGCTGTACACTTATGTGAGAATAAGATTCCCCAGCTCATGCTTTTTTCTCTGTTTTCTGGATGAGCAGTCAGTAGGTCTGAGGAACCAGCACAGCGAAGCCCCTGGGGAGACTCACCTGTACAGCTCCAAAAACTCCGGGTAGGGGTTCACCGGATCCAAAGGCCCGTAGATAAAATGAACTAGGAAAGAGAAGAACGAATCACTAACTGCTCTCACGTCTGTTCTACCCACAGGCTAAAATTACCCCTCTCTGACAGAGATCTAGCTGCTTTCAGTAAGTAGGTTGCAAGAAACTTCTGGGAATAAAGTGAAAACTAGTCCACGGGGGACACTTTCTCCTGTACAGCCAGCCATTCGGCCCCACCGCCGCTTCTCTTTCTCAGTCCCGGAGACTGTCATTCTTGAAGTCTCTCTTCAGTAATAATTGACCCTTGACATTTGAAATCAACTATTTTTTTAGCACTATTGTGTGTGAGACACAGCACCAATTTTTTCTTTTTAAATCTGTAAGAATGAAGAGACAGATGAGCAGAAACCACCTACAGGCTCTTGATTAGTAACCTAAACAGCCTTGAGTCCCAGAATTCAGCACGGACACCAGTCTAACTCTCGGCTGTGCTGGTAGTCACCTTACATCTCAGTGTTTGATATACTTCACTGCGGCACGTTCCAGAGGCCGGAGAGGGTCGCCAGGTTAATAAAGCACAACTAGTTACATTTGGATTTCAGTTCATGATTTTTTAAAAGTTATCAGTATGTCCCACGCATTGCACAGCACACCCATGTCCCCCCAGAAAAGGATCTGTGGCCCTGGCCAGTTTGGCTTAGCAGTTAGAGCACTGGCTCCTGGCCTGAAGGGTCATGGGTTCGATGACAGTCAAGGGCTCGTACCTGGGTTGCAGGTTTCCCTGGCCCATACCAGGGCCATGTGGGAGGCAACCAGTCAATGTGTCTCTCTCACATTGATGTTTCTCTCTCCCCCTTCCTTCCTCTCTAGCTAAAAAAATCAGTGAAAAAATATCCTTGGGTGAGGATTAACCAAAAAAAAGTGTGTGTTGTTTACTTGAAACAAATTTAGCCAGATGTCTTTATTTTATTTTTACTTGCTAACTCTGGCAGTTATCTTAACCCCCGAGCCCCCTGGTTTCCCCACGAAGATGGAATATAGAAATACTCACTGGGAATAGTTACAGAGGCAAGAGCTCCCACCCAGCGTCTTCTAAACTTCTTCCTCTGATTGATGTACTGTAAGAGACTGTAGCACAGGTAAGTCGGCAGGAGCGGAACAAGAGACGTTCACTGTTAGAGGGATGCAAAGGCCTGACAGGAGCCACACGGAACCCAATGTACGTTTTCGTATCCGGAAGCAACTGGGCACCCCTGGGATTGGCCCGCTGCATGGACCCATTTCTGTTAACCCCACACGGCGGCCCCAGCAGTGATCATGCCCGTTACCTACGTAAGAATTCACGTTTCTTAGTGTTTGTTCAACAGGAAATGAGATACAGGAAGGCTGAAAGTTAGTTTGGGTTGTGTCTCCACCACTAATTAGCTCTGTAACTCAAAGGTCTAATACTCATCTTTTGACCTGTTTCTTCCTCTTTAAAATAAGAGGACTGACCTGTGATCTCTAAGTTGACATATACTTCTAGAATTGTAAGTGCAGAAGTTCACAAGCACAAAGCTTCATCCTCTGCATTTCATCTGACCACAGATAAAGTGGAGGGTGTCTCCCGACAGTGACAAGGTGCCACAGCCACGTTCTAGAACTAAACTCGGGTGTTCTAGTTATTCTGCCTGGGACTCCAGGAGGTACGGACCTCAACTGCCACCTGTCAGAAGTACTTTTTATGTTTTGGAAAGGGAAGTAAGTGGGAATTCCTAAAGGGTTTTGTTTTGACTTTTTTTTATATTAAAATGAATGTTGGGGATCTAACGGGCGTTGGGGGCGGGGGAGGAATGGCGCTCTCCCTCATTTCGCAGCGAAGCCCCAGTTACAGCAAGGGGAGCTGCTGGCAGGAGGACGGGCCTCGTCTGCAGGGATGGACATCACCATCTCTAGGTCCCTCTGTGAAAGCAGCATTTGAAACCAGGCATGGGAAGTCTGTACAAGACAGAAATCCCTCTCAGCCCGCTGCTACAGAAAGATACGAAAAATGAAGAGACTTGTACTTTGAGAAAGGCACCAAATGCTTTTCACAACTATGCTTAGACATGTCGAAGCATTTAATATTAACAAAAGTCCAAAGAAGGATTTGCCAAAGCCAATCAGCCCACTGCAATGGAATTAGCGTGAGAATTTGCAGCTGTTCATCCAGACGCGCCTGCCGCATCGCTCAGACTCAGGGCCCACTCTACGCTCGCTTTATTAGAAAGGACAAGGCACGCCCTGGCCGGTTTGGCTCGGCGGTTAGAGCGTCGGCCCGTGGACCAATGAGTTAAGGGTTCAGTTCTGGTCAAGGGCACGAACCTCAGTTGCGGTTCCCCCTGCGGGAGGCAACCACTCGATGTGTCCCTCGCTCCCCCTCCCACTCTATCTGAACAAAACTGGAAAAATTTCCTCAGCTAAGGATTAAAAAAAAAAAGGACAAAGCATGACTATTTTTTGGTGTACCTCATGAGACATAACCAGCCTCCTTATGAATGGGAGGGCCAGCCAGGGAGAGAACGAGCAATCCCACATCTTCCCCCATGTTCCAAACGAAAGCCTCTCCAGAAACCACAGCAAAGGGTGTTTCTCACCTGTCGATGACCAAGTTCCCGTCGTTGTTGCGTATCCCTGCCCACATGTCCCACAGCTCACTCTCAGAGGGTCGGGTGTATGGCCCAAAGACGGGGGTGAGGCTGAAAGGGGCCAAAGGTAGGTCAGTGTGAGAAGTCAGAATGTCAAATAGTTTGGAACCTCAGAGGTCATGTAGTCTGACCCTTAACTGATTTACGAGTTCCTACTGTTCCCCTGGCAAGTGACCAACGCCTCTGCTTTAAAATAGCAAGCACGCCCTGGGCGGCTGAGCACAGTAGTCAGAGTGTTACTGCCTGTGGACTGGAGTCTCAGGTTGAATTCCCAGTCAAGTGCTCACACCTGGGTTGCAGGTTCGATTCCCCAGCCCGGGTCAGGGTTGTGCAGGAGGCAACCAATCATTGTGTGTCTCTCTCTCTCCCTCCCTTTTCACTCTGTCAAAAAATCAGTGGAAAAAAATATCCTCGGGTAAGGATTAACAAAAAAAAATAAAAAATCAAACCCTAGGATTTGGCCCAGAATTTTAGGGCAGCAGCTTTCACTACATTGTTCCCAGGCCGCAGTACAAGTCTTTGACAATGACTCACCCTCGAGAGAACACGAAGAAGTTCATCAGTCGTGTGAGGATGGGTGACAGCAAGCCTCCATCTTTGAGAAGCTACAGGTAAATAAGGAAAAGTAAAAATCAAGAATCCAGGGACAGAAGACAATTAACCGGGACCGAAGGTTTTATACTAAGAACTAAAAGGACTCTGGCCTAATCTCCTACTGAAAGGCTTGGTCATTGGCTTTTTTTGTTCGGCCTACCCACGTGAATCTTCTCTCATAGAAAACAAACTATTTCTAATTCCCTTTAAGATTACATTTCTACACTTCACTGAATCCCTAAAAACTTTACAGGCAGCTTAGTCTAGAATCCCAACTTGTTCAAACATCATGCTGATAACACAAATCTTTAGATAGCTGTATTTCTCCAAATATTTGTTGATCTCTCATTCTCAGGAAGGTCTAGGATTTATGTGTGGGCCACTTCCACTGCTTTGTTTGCATAAGAAGGAGAAACTGACTTCGTTATGTAAATTGACGAGGTGGACTTCAACTAGGGCATCTTACAGCAGAAGTGGCCCTTACAAAGGTCCCAGTGTTATCTGTCAGTGTGAATAGTAAGAACTAAGGCTCTAGACACGGGAGTAGCCAACCTTTTGGAGGAGGAGAGGACGGTGAGTCTCGGGAAATATTCCTGTAAGAAGAAAAGACTTAAGTTAGTCATTTTCCAACAATTTAAAGGCAGACAGACGTCCGTTATTGGAGACTATCCACCCTACTCACTGTCACCTTTGGGGACTTTACTGCTAAAAAAACAATTACAAATAAAAACTTAGTACTGTCCTCTAATTCCTTCCTCAGGGAATTCTGGGTTTAGCAGGTCAAATTATATTCCAGATTGTAAAGGTAGAGAGACGGGAATAAAGAGCAAACATGGTCATCCATACTGCTGGCTAGACTCCACCTCCCCTGAGCATGTCTCCTCCCTGTCCTCAGAACATAGTGCTGTTGATTCGGGCAGCAAAAGAAACCAGAGGCTTTGCAGGAAGTGTGGGTTCTTAAAAAAAACCTAGGCCCTGGCCAGGTAACTCGGTTAGAGCATCATCTCAATATGCCAAGGTTGTGGGTTCAGGCCACATACAAGAATCAACCAATGAATGCATGGATAAGTAAAACAAAAATCAGTGTTTCTCTCTCAAATCAATTTTTTTTAAAAAAGCACATATAATTTATAACACAGATATACAGATATATATATTTAAAAACATTATTTTTAGAAAGGGTCAGTATGTCTCATCGGACCACCAAAGTGATTCATGGCACACAAAAAGCTATAGACCCCTGGTTAAATTGTGTCTGTTTGCAATGCCATCAGATTACCATTCAGGTGTCACTGATACCTAAACGTGGCCCACATCACCCACTACCAAGGCACTTACCTCCATTGGACAGACAGAGACTCTTGATGGTAAGCCGACCAGATCGATTTTGCTTGAACCTAGAAACAGGAGGCAAATGCATGAGTGGCCATGCACCAGTGCAGCAGCTGAAGACAAACTCTCAGAAAGGGCTAGAAAGAACCCAGGAACAATTTACTTTCCTAGTATCTTAAATGAATGAAACCGCTTCACTGACCTGTAGAGAAGCTCCTGAGCAACGATGTCTCCGTAATCATGAGACAAGAGGTTGACCCTGCGGTTCTGCAGCCCCAGATGCCGCAAAAGCGCCTCCACGATGCTGGCCTGCTCAAAGATGGAGTAGTGATGTGGTCTCTAAGGGAGGGAAAGCCCAGATACGCAGGATGACGTCATGAGCGCAGATCTGTCTGCTGCTCAACCCTCCATCTCACCCACCCCCGTCCCTCAACACTGGCCCTGTCCAGAGGCTGCTTACCGGTTTGTCGCTAAAGCCAAAGCCTAAGAAATCGAGGGCAATCACTCGATGAAACCTCAGCGTCAGACCTTCCCAAATCTACAAGAAAGAAAAGGGATGATTTGGACTTTTTATCCTGCCCCTCCCCTCCAACCTACAGCAGCCCAGGGGTTTCATCCCTTTCTCAGCTTAACGAACAGACATCAATAAAGGGAAAATCCACATGAACCCACCACAGGCCTGCAGATGATCCCCTTGCAAAGTGCTTTATCCCTAATAATCTCTATTGAGGGAGGAACTCCAGCATTTTTAACTTGGCAATGACACTTCCCAGATTGCCAGACAGTTTTTTACTCCCTTCCAGTAAATGAAAAACAGTTTTACATTTAATCCTCATTTATGAAGCAATTCAAATATGCAAGAGCCTATCAGTGCTGACAACAAAATCCTTGATTTTGGATTGTCAAAGACATAGTAGGACCTAGAAAGTCTGACTTCATTACCTTGTACCAATCATAGCTGGATGTTGGAAAGCCATGTAAAAGCACCACTATCTCTGGACTTCCAACCACGCCCACAGAGTCTGGGAAGAAGGAGAGAGAGCTGTTAGGCCAACTCCCTACAAAAATAACCTCGAAGATACTAAAATCTAAGTAATCTGGTACAAACGACAAGAAATCCTGCCCAAGTCAGTGAAATTAAAAAGTAGATTTCTTTTTAAAATGCACGCTTATTGCTTTAGGTGAAAATAGGTGTTTGGGTTTTTTAAAATCTGTTTATTTAAAAATTATAAATAGGACACTTTATAGGAAAATACTTAAAGGGAGTCTACTTGATTTCACGGAGAGTTTTTTAAACCATTTCTCCCATTATTGTGTATTATTAATATGCAAATTGCTTTTCACATTAAAAAGTAAACTTTCACAGTTAAATGTATACAGTCACAATATATAAACTACAAATTCTTTGTACCTTATCATTAATGACCTCACACAAATTCTTTAAAATATAGCAACCCTTCCTCAACCTTGTGAGTACCTTAGTTTATACTATTTGTCCCACACGTCTATTTCCCACAAAGGGGATAAGTATCAAAAGCATCATGCTCAAACTATTGCAAAATTCTAACTATAAAAAAGGGTTAATCAATACAAACACGAACATTTTTTAGTGAATAAACATGTTTTAAATTAGCCAAACATTTTAATAGTAGAATGCATTGCTAATAATATTAGATTTAAAATGATACATTCATATACTACCAGTAGCATGTAAATTTGAAAATAACATTTGCAAAATAATTTAGTTAGAAGCAATTAAAAATTGTATATATTTTAGCCTATATGTCTTATTCTTTAGAATCCATGCAAATAAAATCATTCTATTTACAAGTAGTATAGTGCAAAATTATAAGGAAAAAATAAACACGTATGAAAATTTCCCTTCAACATTAACCAAAACATTGAAAAACTGGAAACAACCTAAATGACCAACATAAAGAAATTTATATACTTACTTACTGAATATAGCAAATGAGAGGAGGTCAGGAGCAATAATGAAAAACGGTTTATGACAAACATTTTTCGTTATTGCTCTTGACCCCCGCCCAAAAGAAATCTTTTCCAATCTCGTTTCTCGGGTTCTTTACCTATAAAATGAAGTTAACTGCACCTATCTCCAAGTGCTATTATAGAGATTAAATGAAATAATAAAGATTGAAAATATAATTCAATGCCTAGTATATGGTAATTACTTAATAAGTAACAGTCATAACAATAATTAGCATTAGCAAATTAATTTATACAAAGGTATAAGACTTAACTCACAGTTAGTTATGCATATAACAATCTTGATAGAAAACAATAAAATAAAACCAGGAATTTGGGGGAAAACAACCAATGGTAGCTTTATGAATACTGTTTATATTACCCGACACTAGGGGCACTCAAGAGAAAAAACTATCAATACAAATCAGGTTCTGAAAAAAATGATAAAGTCATCTCTACAGAGACTGGAATCTCGATTCCACCACCCGCTCCCTCCCAGCAACTTTCTTTGCATTCCCCTGCTATCGAGTTAAGAGGGTTTAGTGCACTCCTTCAAGCACACATCATAGAAAAAGAGGGTTTTCCCTCCATCACTGAAGGCCAACAGAGATCAGTGGACACAAAATAAGTACCTCAAGGGGCCTTCAGGGTCCTACATGCACAGGGTGTTCCAACAGTCCTGTTCTTACCTTGGTAGAAGATGCGTAGTCCCTTGTAGGTGAAAAATTTGCCTGATGATTTCCATGAGTGAAGAGCAGGGGAGAGCTGGGGGGGCGGGATGTGTAGATAGGCCGCAAGCAGGGGCACCGCCAATAGCCCCACCTGCACCCACCACTCCCTCATCCTGTGGGAAGATCAGAGACGGGGGGTAAGCAGTCAGGTGACGTTGTGCACACGTCTACAAGTCCCAAACTGGTAAGATAGGGTGGGAAATTGCTGTACCATGCGGTGACTTCCTTGCCCTCATATGAACCATGGCGGAAAGTTTTCCAAGAAGAATGTAAGCGCACCTCTGCCTGCTATGGTAATCACCATATTTGCTCATCATTCTAATTTTCAGGAAAAAAAATATATTATTTCAATATGGAATCTTCCTCGTCTTCTTCCCACTTTAATTCCTCAGCCCCTCCCCTTGTGCTGTTGCCAAGACCCACTGGAGAGGTTTTTAGGTTAAGTAAAAGGAAGATTACTTAAGCATTGTGGGGTACCTTTTCACTGGCTTTTATCAAGGCTTCTTAGAGGGGGAAAATAATTTCCTTCACATGTACTCAAAAGCTCTATCACCACGAGTAAAATGTTATATATTTTTTAACTAATGTTTTAAAGTGTGTATATATGTATAGTAATTTACATATCATTCAACAGAGAGCTACTCTTGATTGTTAGTATGTTTCAGCCCTCTGACCCCAGTGAAGCCCTGTTGGTACAACTGTCTGGATTTGTGTTGGAAAACTCGGGCTAGAGTCTAAAAGGAAGAAGACAGATGCACTGTACATTTCAACATAAGCAGCTTTGTCATGACCCTGAATATCTAATCTCTTGAAAGGTCAGGGCAGCAGATTATATTTCCGCTTTTCTTAGCAGACTCTTGAGGAAGCTCCCATTTCTTTAATTTTTTAGGACTTCCCTCCCTCGTCCCCCTCAAAATAAGGCAGAACTCATCATACCCAACATCTGGGAATTGATTTTGTCATTGGAAGGAGAGCATGGTTTGTACACCCAACCTTCCCATGCCCACGACCTCAAAGGTGCAAGTTAATTTGTCCACAACAGCCATAAGTGCTAAGCAGGAGCTAGAAACTGTTCCCTCTGTTTCTATCTTATCACTCCTGGCGCCCACCAGGGAAAGAATTATCAGTAAAATGGAAGTTCTCAAAATAGCCACAATGGAAATACCTTCCCCCAAAATAATTAATTAATTAATTTTTAAAAACCCAGAGCTTTAAATAAGAAATCAATTGCCAAAGCCCTGGTGGAAATGGTTTTTCGTGTCTGTACACACACCGTTCCACTATATTACAGGTAATCTGGCTACAATCCCTGCCCATCACAAATAAAATAAGTAAGCCTGTGGTTCCATGATGGTAACCACATTCCTTAAAGAATATAAGCTACTTTGCCTATATTTTAGGTATCACTACAGCAGTCTTTTTTCCCCTCCAAGGTACCTGTCCGTAAGACAAACCCAGTCAGTGATTTGGTTCTACCTTTCAAAGTAATATTAGAAATGATATTTTTTTAATGACTGGCACATGATGATTATATTTCAATTTCCACCCCACAACAGTAGCAGGCTGCATCCCCAGTATCTCTTTGAAAGATAAGATGACAAAAAGCACTGGGTTTAGATTGTCATTTTCCAGCTCATACATTTTCAGGGTCGCATTTCATCATGCCTTATCCCCAGCTCTCCTCCCCTTCATTCAGGTCCAGAGCCTGGAAATGGCAATGACTCAGCACAGAGCCAGGGAGGGGTTACTAGAGGAGCAAGCAGAAGGAGCACCCCCACCCAGTGGGGGCTTGGGGGATGATTATATATACTCTGCTCCTGGACACCCCCACCCTCCACACCTTCTCTTTTACTCCAAGAAAACCAAGGGGCTACCCCTCAGGATGCCATTTTCTGTCTTTATCACCTTAGTAAAAATGCCCCTAATGACATTTTAGGATTTTTTTAATAGGAAAGCAACCTGTCAGTAAGCAAAATGGATTAAACGTTTTTGACTAAAATCTCCATTATTTTATGAGCCATGGGTCAAAAGAATAAATTTGGCAAACCCCAATACAAACCTTCTGGAAATCAATCACCTTTTTCCAGCCCTGATTTCTTCATCTTGTAAAGAGGAAAAATACGTTTAATACCACCAAATCTGCCCCACCTTACAGCATCGTGTGACACTGGGAACTACTTTGTAAACCAATGCAAACAACTCAAGTGTAACATGATGATTATTTAGCCACATCACCATGCTCACTTAGCTTCTTGTTACTGAAATCTCAAAAATACTTACGCTCGGTGATAACATGCTAATGCAAGTCCTAGTCACACCTATGCAGTAACTCACACCTCGGCGACATCAGGGACTTGAAATCCTAAACTGCGCCACGGCAATACCCGAGCCTTGACATCCGAAATCGCGCCAGGGTGATATCCGGTGTCAAAATCCCAAACCGCGCCAAGGTAAATCCCGGGTCTAGAAATCCTCAATTGCGCCACAACAATACCTAGGTTCTGAAATCCTAACCGCACCACGGCAATACCGGAGTCTTACGATTCTAAACCACGCCAAGAAGATGCAGAGGTCTGAAAATCCTCAGTTGTGCCAGGGTGGTATCCGGTGTTAAAATCTTAAATCGTACCAAGATGAAACCTGGGTCTAGAATTCCGAAATCGCGCCAGGGTGATGCCAGGGTCTAAAAATCCTAAATAACATTCGAGCTGTGCCGATGTCCAGAAATCATAAATCACGTCAGTGCAATGTGGGAATCTAAAAGTCCTAAATCGCATCAGAACGATGCTGGGGTCTAAAAATCCTAAATCGCATCAGAGGCGAAACCAGGGTCTAGAAATCCTAAGTCGCGCTAGGGCAATGCCGGGGTCTAAACGCCTTAAATCGCGCCAGGGGTCCTAGAAATCCTAAATCAGGGAGGTCCCGAGTTCTACGGCGTGCAGAAGCGACATCCCCTCCCAAGAAGATAGCGCAAAAGGGTCCCCCGCCCGGCCCCCATGGGGTTTTCCCTCCACTGCGGGAGCGCGGTCCGGAAGCCCCACACACACAGTGCCCACAGGCTAGCCAGCACCCCGGCCGGACAGCGGCTCCGAGCCGGCCACACCCCCTCGCGCCGGCGGCACGCACCCACCTGCGGAGGCGATCTCGGCGCACCATGGCTGCGTCTTATCCCATGCCGCACGGCACACCGATCCGGGCGCGGGGCGCCGAGGCAGGGCGCGCACAGCCCGTGAGGGCGGCGCCGGCCGCGGCAAGCAGCAAACGGCCACCCAGGCGTGTGCTGCGGCACTGCGAGACACGACTGCCGCAGAGGAGGCGCCGGGATGTGCTGGTTGCCGCGGCAGCGCGGAGCCAGTGGGCACCGACTTTTAGAGCCCACCCATGCCCCGCCCCTGGTCCGCCCACCGCGCCGCAATGGTCCTCCCACCGCAGCCACCACCCCTCCCTGCAGCCCCCACTGCTGCTGCGGGAATCGGGTGTCCCTCTCACAGAAGATCCTCTAGGGGGCACCTTCGGTGTGTTGACCCCTGCCAGCACCCCACTGCTCCCTCACAGTCCCCCAATCCTGGGCTCAAGGTTCTGCAACAGAAGCCTTCCTCTGGCAAGTTAACGCTACAGGAAAAGACAACAGACCCCTGAAATCCTAACCCTCCCCTTAGACCACCCAATGGGCGCCCCCAGCCCCAGAGGTGGCTTCTCGACCACAGGTGTGGCATCAGCTCCGTCCGGCGCCATGCCTGAAGCATGGGCTGTGAACGACACGAGTACCCAACACCTCCCGGGTCCCTAAGTATGGGTAACCACCGAGGGCACAAACAAGTGGCTAGGGAATGACAAGCTCTATTCAAGCTACCAGCGGGATAATTGCCCGATTCATGGGACGGCTGCTACGGAGCAAAAAGGGCACACGTAGCGGAACGTCTGAGTCCCTCGCTCCATCACTAGACACATTCCCTTTGCGGCAGCGCGACGTGGGGCTCACGCTAGAGCCCGGCCACAGCGCCCCCGCAGCCCTCCCGCAGCACCCACTCCCAGCAAAGGATCCATCCCGCGCCAGAATGAATGATCATCACAGTTCTGAGACCAAAGCTCCGCTTTATGTAAGATTGAATTCACAATGCAAGGGTCCCAGTGGTACAGAAAAGTGGGCAGGATTTTTTTTCTTCAACCATAATCTTTAAAAAGACATCTATTACGCCTTTGAAAAGAAAAGGGTAGTGAATCAGTGTCTATGTTCATTTTCTGGCTGTAAATTGAAATTCGGAGGGACGCACGCGGGCTGCAAGCGAGCCAGGCAGTACTAGCAGTGCCGGCTCCCTCCAGCAGGGGCGCCGCAGGCCTCTCTTCACTCGCGCCTGCCTGCCACTCCTCAGCCCAGGGTGCAGGCAAGTGGGAAAGGCAAACGCCGGCCCAGTGTAGCCCACCCCATCCTAAAAGTGTACCAGGGAGCCGAGGGCCACCAACCACACATGGGAGAAACCACCATCTATGAGCATGTCATCAAAACGTGTGGCTAAACCCAGGGTACGCTTTTACTGGTGTCCGATGAAGAGGGTCAGGAAACGAGTGCTTATTTAGCACCTACAATGCTCCAAGAGGCTGGGGTACAAATATGAACGAGAGTGGCCCCTGTCCCAGGGCAAGAGGCTGGCCATCCGGTGGGGAAGACAGACAAGAGCCAATGCTGCTTAAATTTTCCCTTTAATTCCTTGGCCACATTTTGTGACAGATTGGCCCCCTCCCCCTAACGTGTACGGCCCTCAAAGGCCGAGCCCAAGTATTATTCACCTTTTGTATCCCCAGAACCGGCCACGGTGCCGGCCACAAAGCAGGCCCCTAATAAATACTGCATGAATAAGTACAAGAATTTGAGGGCGCACAGAGGAGGAAGTAATTAAGGGGAGGAGGGAGGGTTGTTTTGAATGATGAATAGACATTTACCAGAGAGACAAAGAGCCCTCCAACCAGAGGGGACGGCATTCGCAAAGCTCGGAGGCCAGGACCGCGCAACCTTTGGGGAAAACTGCCAGTCCTTTGGGCTGGGGCACTGACCGGCAAAAAATTAGGCTAGAAAGAGCATTTCATCCTAAAGGGTTTGGAATTTGGCCTAAAGAAAATGAAAAGCCACGGATGGATTTAAAACCTTTATGGCCTTAATTGGTTACTTAACAAAATTTAAATTAGTCCCTTTACAAATGGAGGATTACCTATTTTCACTAACCACCACCTTTAAAGGGTTGAATTACTTTACAAAAATTTAAATTGGTCCTTTCAACGGAGTAAAGGCTTTCCTATTTTAACTAAGATGACAATAGTAACAACCTTTTCATTATTTTTTTTATATTTATTGTCAATGGAACCTATGAAATCCTACAAACAATTCTGCACTTTCATCGGAACCACACCAGAAGCACCCACTCCGAGATGAAGGCAATTTTGTATTTAATGGACTAAGTGCTCACAAAAGATCTGATTCTGAAAGTAAGGGAACATGTCCAACCACGCAGAACATGGGGCAGAAAGGAGGAGAGACCTGGGGAGGAGGGGCAGCAGAGGGGACCAACGGGAAGCTCCTAAAGACAAGAGGAATTCTAAGTCTAAGGCTCAAGAAAAACCCTCCTGGACAGAGTGGCTAGGAAAAGCTTCTTGGAAAAGGAGGGACTGAGGTTGTAAAGGACTTCTAACCAGGAACTTAGCGGGGAGAGGCAGTCCTGTTGGGGAGAACCACCAGCGCAGAAGGTAGGAGTCCAAAAATGGCAGAAGATACTATTAGAAATAAACTCGGCTAAAGCTGGGAATTTGCTTTGAAAAAGGTGGGGGAGAAAATCCTAGTGATAAGGCTCCAGGAGTTAATGAATTTTGTAAAAGTGCCTGCCTTATTTCCAGAGAGAAGCTTACTCCACCGGGGGAGAATCCAGCCCAAGGTATGAAACCCTTGGAGCGCCTGACCCGACATGCAACCATACGTAAACCCAGTCAGCCCAACTTGCTCTCCGTGCACCTTTTCAGTTGCTGGTTACCAGTGCCACAGTTGACCGATATCATGTGCACCAGTATTCCCTCAACCAGTAGCTCATCATACATTCCTGTCACATTCCAATTCAAAGACGGTCCCACATAATAAGACCTTGAATTTGTGCAAAAATGAGTGTCGAGAACTTGGCATTTATTAGCTCACTGATGTACCACAGCGGTATGAGATCAGCGGGGCTGGTACCATGAGTTCAATAATCATATTTTTCTAACCCCAGTTTGAGACCAATACTATGATAAACACAAGAATACTTATGGGGACAACAGGACAGAACTGGGACTGCCACTTTCAAAAGCCATAATTACCAATTCAAATAAACTAAAGACATTCAAGATGGGAAAAACTTGGTTGAACAGCAGCACATGTTAAAGAGACAGGGTTTTTAGTTGACAGTGAGTCTGTGTGATATGAGTCCCAAAAATCCACTGTAGATTGCAGACTGCAATTAGAGAGGTACCAGGCATAAGCTAATCATACATTATTCTGCTAGTTAGACCTCAGAGAAAGTATTTTATTCTGCTCTACAGAACAGACAGTAAGAGACACATAAACAAACAGGAATTTGTTCAGAGAAGATCAATTAAAATGCATTGCAAATTATGTCACTGAAGGTGTAAAAGTCCCTGTATTTTAAGCTCCTACTACAGCATGGATCTTTATCCAATGTATCCCTAATCCTCACAATAACTCGGCTAGATGAGTATTTCATCCACATTTTTCAGAGAAAGATACAGCAACTCAGAGCACTAAGTGTTAGTATGTGAAGGGACTGGGAACTGAGCGCAGATGTGTCTGGCTTCAAAGCTGGCGTTCTTTCCACTACCCCACACTGTCTCCCTGTTTAAAATAACTGTACATGTTTAGCTGGAAGAAAAGAAGCCTTGTGGAGTAAGTGGAAGAAGGAAATGTGTTAGCAGTCCTCAAATATTTGTGGAAGCAGCATTAGACATTTTATTCTGTATGGCTCCAATGAGTGCAAATTGTAGAGAAACAGATGTCGATTCAACATAAAGAATTTTCCAAGTCAGGGCTGTCTAGAGAGACTGGGTGGCTCAGCCATTTTGGGACATGACAGGTTCCCTGTCACTGAGGCTGGGTAACCCTGTGTGTGGCAGGTAGGCAAGCTCCTGATGAGTGCATGAATGACCTTCAGTATCTCTTTTCATTTGATAGAAACTAAGGCTCAAAAAGATACTGGAACTTGGCCAGGGTGACCCCTCTTCTGAAAGGTCAAATCCACACCGAGGTCTTCCCTGGTTGTCCCTCAGTTCGGCGCTCTTTTTACAACATGCTATTTCATGCTGAAGACAAGACAAATGGAAGAAATTATTACTACAACCACATCAGCCTCCCTCTCAACCAAATTTAACCAATATATCCCAGAATTGACTGGTGTCTTCCCTTCTCTTCAGGTTCATTTATGGTTAAAAGTCTTTGGCTGCAGAAAGTGCAAAAGATGCCCTGGCCGGTTTGGTTCAGTGGTTAGAGCATTGGCCTGAGGACCAAAGAGTCGCAGGTTTGATTTCAATCATGGGCACGTACCTCGGTTGCAGTTCGGTCCCGGCCCTGGTCAGGGTCATGCAGGAGGCAACCAATCCATGTGTCTCTCTCACATCGATGTTTCTCTCTCTCTCTCTCTCCCCCCTTCCCTCCCACTCCATCTGAAGATAAATGGAAAAATATCCTCGGGTGAGAATAAAAAAAAACAAAGTGCAAAAAATGTGTGGTAGAGGAGAGAAGCAACCATACATTAACCAGCTAAAATGAACTCAAGTGACAGCCAGCCATTTCTCTAGATTACAGTATTATTGCATACCCCTAAAGTATCTTCATACACCCTCTGAATTACTGGGCACACCCCATAATCCCACCCCTGGTACTATTCCACTATTCAACACTTAGAGTACATTTTTACACTCATACAAAGAAATAGGTTGAAGGATTCAAAATATAATCATATCTTGTCTTTTTATAGGTCTTTATTCTTCACATATATTATCTCATCTGATGCTCACCACAGTCCTCTAAGGAAAACAGCTACTTTCTTTAAATCAGACAAGCAATATCCTAGCTGCCTGGGGCACACAACTCACTTAAAAAAATGAACAACAACAACAAAAAAATACTTTCC